CCAATGGTTTCTCCTGCCAACAAGAAAAGCAATCCCTCCAGCAACGAGGACAACACCAATGGCGTTTTTGGCTAAACTCTCCACCATCATCAATGCCTGATGTTTTGTCAGATGAGCATACCTCATCAGAATGGCATACCCATAGTCAATAGGCATGGATTCGATTTTTTTTAATATTCCCCCCCTGCAGTTTTTTCTACTAATTGAAATGTCTTTAAATCCACATTAACATGAATTCAACAGACTGTAGTAAACAGATAAATGGAGGCAGAAGATGTCTTTCAGTCATCAATGCACACATTCAGCGACACACAGGAGCTCTTTCAAGCTGGGCACCGTTTCATTCACAACACCTGTCCCATTAACCAGGAATCAGAAATACTTTAATAATCCCAGGGAGAAATTACTTTAGTTACATTACTCCATCTGTAACAGAGTGACTATAGGACCAGTTTGAAATAACACAATTTAATACAATATATATAATTAGGGGGTCCCCTCTCCATCTAACCATCAGTTTGGGGGTCCTTGGCTTGGACAACATTGAAGACCCCTGTACTAGACTAAGACTTAGACAAACCTAATTGTCATTTTGTACACACAGGTGTCCAGGTTGCATCACTAGTTGATGTATGTACGAAGATTCAGTGCAGCTCTAAAGACATCTCCATTTCTTAAAGTGCAGCAGTGATAAAAAGTAATGTTACAAGGAAGTTATTTTTTTTTATAACTAACCAAATCAACATGGAAGGAGTTTTGTAAGATCACAGAGTATTTGTCAATGAATTTAATCTGAATTTTACTTTTGTAAATACTGGATAGATATTCATTTTAGTTAATCATTAAAAAAAGTTTGGGGCTGATGAGAATTTACATGTATGAATAAGAAATTTACCAAAAATTATGATTAGATTAATTGCCAAGACAATGAGAACAGACAAAATATTTAAAAAATATATACTTTATGATAAATTAAATTGGGTGATTTAAGGTTCTCTATATCTTTATATTAGGGATGCACGATATTGGGATTTTGGCCGATATCCGATATGCCGATATTTTAAAACTCATGTAGC